GGACGTTAGGAAGAGGAGTGTACTTTAGAGTATATAGCTTGAGCCTGCGGCCCTTCACGCCATATACCCTTCGGGAGGTCGGCCGCAAGGGCGGTTGCGCCCTTGCCGCCTCGGCGTTAAATACAACAACAACAACAAATCGTAGCTGATCTCCACAAGTGGCCTCCATCAACACCAGGAATCATGACAACTCCCTATAACGGATTCATCTTGTCTGGATTTGACACTTTCTATCCGGCCTCGTTCGTATTTCCGGATGGCATCCCAAAATCGCCATTCAGCGACGCATGGACTTTCGGCAAACCAATCCCAGAGACCATGGTCACCGTCGGCCTCGGCGACGGCAAGAAACTCAGTCTCGCAGACGGCAACTTTCCCTCGGTCGCTTTGTGGAATGAAGAAGGACAACGAATGGGACAGTATCAAGGCCATTACGCAGGCCACGTAAAGCAAGGGGGCGAAAATACGGTGGTGATCCGACAGACCATGAACGGCAGGAAAGACGAGGACCCAGGATACATTATGCTAAGCGCGGACAACGACGCCATCTGCATCGCAATGATTCAAGTTTCGAATAGCAGACACACCTCAGCCTTTTTCGGAGATACCGGCTACGCCTGCGGGCAGAGCTGGTATTTCAGTGATCGCAAGATGACGCACGACCTCGTCAACCGCCTGACCTCGAGATGCGTCTGGCTGGATTCCGATCACAGCGGCACGAAAAATGCGCGGGCGATGAGCTACCATCTCAAGGACATGTTGCCCGCGAAAGACAAGATCGCACTGTACAACCGGGATGGACACAAATACCTCTGCACGACTCGGCGATTTGCCTGGTGGAGAAATTTGAAGCCAAATGGCTGGATTCCGTTCTACAAGCCCCCGCTGGATTACTACCCGGACAGTGAGGACAAGAAAAAGGAAGGAGCCGACATCAATCCAGACTTGATCCTTGATGACAAGGTGTACGACAAGGACATATACATAGAGCAGGGAGAGTCGAGGAAGGTGAGGGAATATCACGAAAACAATCCCTTCGCGCGAGCGAAGAAGCGGCGGGACAAGAAGTCTTTGAGGAAAAGGTTGGGGGCAAATATGGACCTGGAGCGGATCGTGGTGACTGAAATTCCGGGACAGACGGCAACAGAGATCTGCGAGCACCCAAATTCGGTAGGGTATGACATCGCGTCTTATGTTGACATGAAATACTGCGATATCTCAGAGAAGAAGTTGTATGATCTTTGCAGCGGTACTATCAAAACCAACTGTTTTGATGGCAATAGTACGACCTTCGTGGGGGTTATCAACGCACGCGGCGAGAATGCTGCACCGGCGAAGTCTTACAAGACCAGGAGCGATTGGAAATGACTGGATGTTGTTGGGAATCTGATTATTGTTCCAATTTCTTGTGTAATATTTTGACCATCGTAGCTTAACGGCCTTTTGACGAAGTATATTGTATCAGTAGATCCGAAATTGGTTGGGTATAAGTCATGGGTGCAATAGTACCTTAACAGGCATGCGGAGAAGTTGTAGTGTATGGCGAAAACTTGTTGTATGAGGCAAGGTGTAGCTAGGGAACGAAGTCAATCTAGTCTGAGCTTCTGAAAAGATCGTTGCATTCTCATTACCAACCCCTCAAGCCTCCAGTGCTTACTACATGAAGGCCAGAACTTCATGCTCTAGCCGCCTCCCACTCTTCAAACGCCTTGACAGCCTCAGCCACAACGTCATGACCGAGGAGCTCTTTCTGATATTCCGGGTCAATCCACCTCCAGCCCGTGGGTGACAGCCCGTCGGCCAACTTGGCACCTGCCATCTCGGCATCTCGCGCTTCCTGCTCGGGCCCGTCCGGTATTTGATACCACTTCTGGTTCGATCTTGCGCCTTGAACATTCACGGTCGTCCGTGATTTTCTCAGTGTCTCATAGAGCTGGAGCACCTCCGGAATCAACTCCGCCGGCGTGGTTCCATTCGAAGAGGCATTGAGCAAGCCCAAGAGTTTGCCAAGGACTGCACCGTCTTCCACAGCCATGGCTGCCCCTTGTGCCTGGTATGGAAGACTCGGATGACAGGAATCTCCCAGCAGAGCCACACAACCCTAGGCATATTAGCATGGTGTTTCACTGGATGTTGTGATGGCAAACCTTTGTCCAAGTCTTCAATTCAGGATGCGTGCACAGCTTCCATTTCTGAACTCGTGGTATGCAAGATATCAGCTTGGTCAACCTGTAAATGATGGTTAGCCAATAATCTCATTGATTCACCGGAACATTGGCCTAGTGACATCTTTCAATCACCGATAGCGCCGAAAATTGCTCAAGCGGAAGATCAAAGGGTCCAACTCACGTCTCATTCCAACCCTCATAGCTCTGTCTCATCTCACCAACGTCCCCCTCAATGTGCCTTTCTCCGGGCGCCATGTTGTCGGGCCTGATCAAGACCAAGTTGAATTCTCTCCCGCCCCTGACAGGGTAGAATACCGTATGCTTTTGGGGTCCTACCCACACTGTCACCTGCTTTCGAGAACACAGCTCGTCTACAGCTTCGTCGTTGAGTGTCTTGAGCTGCTCCGCGGGGAATGACGCTCGATACGCAAGATCCCCCGTCTCAACTGCTGGTGATGGCGTTCCAAGGAGCTGATTGCGGCATATTGAGTATAGACCTGCTCAATATTAGCAAACCGATGGCCCCTTAGAATGACATCGTACCCACCATCGGCGCCAATAATTACGTCCCCAGAAATGTCATCTCCGTCCTCAAGCCAAACGGTATTGGTATCGAAATCAATCCTCTCAACATCCATGTCCAGACAAAGATCTACCCCAAGACTTACACACGTCTCCCATAACGCCGCATGACAATCAGCGCGATGACACACCATCCACAGGTCTCCATACTGCTCCATACACTCCTTCGCAGAGAGTGAAAACAGATGCTTCCCGTTCGCATACCGCCTCAGCTCCATTTTGTCGACGATGACACCCCTCTCCAGCAACTTGTCCAGATATCCCAGCTGCCGCGCAATTCTTGTCCCATTGGGCGGTACCTGGATCCCAGCGCCAATCTAAAAAGAAGAGGCAAAATACAAGTCAGCAGACTCTTCCGGAAGGAGCCGAAACTCAGGCCTGATCGCGTGATTAAACTCACGGGCACGATGCGGTTCGCCCTCTCGAGCACCACGACTTCCAGGCCTTCCCGCTTGCATGCAATCGCACAGGCGAGTCCGCCTAACCCCGCTCCGATGACGAGGACCTTCATTCTTTTGCTCTAGTGATATACTCTCTTACAGCGGCGTGATTGTTCCTCCGATGACGTGGAACAGGATGAAATGTTAAATACCGCGGACGGAAAATCTGTCCTGTTTGTTGTTGAAAAAGGAATAACGCCTGCGGGACAGCGGCGTGGTGGACACTGCCCCGCGCGGCCCGAAACCCACATCGGTAGCGTAACCGCCTGCAAAGCTGATCGGGAACTCTAAACGGAGCCCTCCATCCTATCTCTCCGCCTCTTCGCCCCCACCTCCACACCGGGGGGACTTACCATTAAGATGGTGCTGATCAAAGATGCGAGCCGTGTTGATTCTTCCTTGATTACTTCTTCTCCAGTTACTAGCTCGGTCGACTCGGAATGCTTCACCGGTCCGAGGTGTCATTTCTTAAAGCCTAATTCCGAAAACTGTCGACGCAAGGACGGCTGTGGCGGGCTCTTCTTCTTTGCGTGATGCACGGTAAGACTGTTTGACGCCTCTGCAAGTTCTTGGGCGCAGCGGGTGACTATTTCAGCTGATGTTGGATAGCCCTGCAACTGCCATGAATGATTGGAGAATACCTATACATAAAAGAAGAGCGATGTGCAGTACTCTTACTTTGCATCAACATTGCATGCATTCAAGAGCATGCAGAGGACTTTTGTTGTAGAACAGACCTTGAATGAGGATAGAGCATCTAAAAATACCTGCGTGCATGACACATACTATATTGGGAGATGATTTGTAATGACAGTTATTGACTGACTGAGATGAGTAGGGATGCATGGGAGGTTCTCAACTGGCCTTCTGCATCACACGAATAAAGTGAAGCACCATCGAGGATGTATGACCATAAAGTAAGCAAAAGTATTAAATCTTTATCTACCCTCAAATTTAGCAGTAGTCTGTTCATAGTAGCTGAGACAGAGCTTCTCGAACAGACCGAAGCGACTTAATCTGCGCTCGTCTAGGACCACCAGTCTGACCCACTCATAGACGTTCCTGGACATCTAGATTGCCCATATTAGTTTCAACCTTCTTTCAAACGGTCAGATCATTGGAGGGTACCGTTCCCTAGCAATCTACTCATATGCACGCGTTGTTTCAGTCCGTGGACCCGTGTACCCGCAAGTAGCTAGGAGGCTCAGCATACTTCCAAGCTGACTGTTTTTCATCACCTGGTACCCATGATCAGATTTCTCAGACTTCACGGCTATCGTCCAGGGGTCTGGCATTACCCCAAGGTTACGGATTTGTCAACCAGATAGGTGACTTAGGATGGATCTCGGTACCAACATCCGAGTGACGTCTCGTAGGGCTAGCTGACAGGATGTGACAGCCGCTCAACCCTCTCCCCGTGCCCCTTCTTGGCAAACGAGATCCAACAGAGGATGAGCTCCATATTTTGTGAAGCTTCTATCATGAATGGCATTCTGATAGGTTCATGTGAAGGATCAACATCGTCGCAACGATATTACGTGCATGTACACCAACTTTATCACGACACCATCCGCGATTCTTAGACGGACGTGTCGATCACTCTTAAATAGCGTGATGGTCTTTGCCTTTGTAGTGAGGAACGGTGATAACGGGAAGCGCTGTGCGCGATGGAAATTATCTGACGTAAAATGTGTTTGCGTCGGTAGCATCAAAACACCGAATGGCCGATGGGATATCTCTAACTTGGTCACCGGTGCTACCCGCACGCCACAGAACTGGGCAGATGACCAACAGCTTCTCCGGCCCCCCAAAGATGATCAATGAAGATATTCGTACAATGCCCTGCGCTGCTCTGTGGGCGGCCGGGTCATGCCGCGCCGCGCGTGTGAGTGACCGAAGATCCCGCAAAGACAAACCCGGCGCCCTCGGCTCTCCGATTAATCCTTGCTAAGCGCCCGCCCAGCTTCTTGCAGACATTGATGCGATAACATATCCTACAATGCAACATGAATAGCGTTGAGATTAAATACGATTAAGTATTTAAACATGAAATCGGGCTCCTCGGCGTTTTGCGTTATACCCCGGTCGACTTTTGACATCCTGTCATCCTGGCACGTTATCCGATCTTCCCGGAGGTCCTTGCTCCCCTCCTCTCCGACGTCACCACTCAAACATTGCGGGAAGTGGAGGAGTTGGAGGCTCGCCAACTTTGTAAGTCCCCGATTACCTGATCAGGGAATTCGTTTTCGGACGAACGTCGCCGATGCGCGGGGCGTGCGGCCAGCGCGGATCGCAGCCCGTCTGAATTGTCCGTCCGCGGGCTCCTATTCCCACGATGCCGAACATTATACCATTCCGCAGTTCATTAATGTTTCGTTATTTTTCCTTTTTAGCCCGGGGCACCCGACGGCACAACCGGGTGTGCGCGGTGTTCCATGCAAGGCACAAAGTGAAAAAATAATAGCACCACACTCAGGAGGAGAGAGTGGCGTCTTATTTTATTATTCCTCGGTCTTGGACTTTTCTCAACGTCTCTTAAAATTGAGCTCGTTCTCGTTACCCCTCGAGATTGGCCCTAATGCCTTTCATTGTTGAAAAGAAAGTGGCGCTTTCCCGGATGGCCTTCCAAGCCCTTGTAAGATACGATCACGATGGACAAGTCTTTTACGGCAATCTGGTGCGAAGAAGCAGAAGCGGTTATGTTGTGGAGAGATTAGGCGGAAACATTGATGAGGGGTTCGTCAATACGAATATGAGGGATACGGTAACGAAGGTGAGAACCCGGAGATGGCATGACTCGGTTGTGAGATTTGTTGTCGGAGAAAGTGACCGCTGACGCAATTTTCCGCCAGTTGCTGTGTCCCTTGGAGCGAACACCAAGCATTGTATGTCTTGGCCTCAATTTTCTCAGATATGCAGAACAAGCAAATGTAAGGGTAACATCGTCACTACGCCTGCAAAGCATCACTAACAATTAATCAGCTACCAATCGCGGCGTATCCAATAGTTTTCACGAAGCCGCCAGATGCTTTGGCGGGACCGAATGATCCAGTCTTCGTTCACCCGGACGCGCAAAGTCACTTGGATTACGAAGGCGAGCTGTGCGTCATCATTGGAAGAGACGCGAAAAACGTGCCAGAAGACGAAGCGCTTGATTACGTTCTTGGTTATTCTGCAGGAAACGACCTTACCGCACGGAATTTTCAAGTTCCCGACGCTTCAGGAGGCCAGTATTCTTACTGTAAATCATTTGATGGTTTTGCGCCGATAGGACCGGCGATCTGGTCGCCAACAGTGGTTCCGGATCCGCATGCACTGCGGTACCGTACGATGGTCAATGGCAAAGTAGTCCAAGAGACTGAAACTTCCGACATGATCTGGAGCGTGGCGCAGGTGATTGTCCACCTTTCACGGGGAACAACGTTGAGGAAAGGGACCGTTATTATGATGGGTACACCGGCTGGTGTTGGCTATTTTCAGGGGAAGTTCTTGAAAGATGGTGATGTGGTGGCTGTGGAGATCGACGGACTGGGGAAGATCGAGAACAAGATTGTTTTCGAGAAAGAAAATTCCGAGGAGATGGAAGAGTAGACCTTTTATGGTTGGGAGGCAGTCTGCACTGCAGACAGATATTTCTGGATGACTTTCATGAGATACGATGACGTCCAATGGCCTACGGCTCCGAGTTTATTACACGCTCTCATGATTTGGTCTTTCGGCGTTTTCGTTTGAACATTCGGATGGCTGGATACGGATTTATACAGGAGTACTTGCTTTAGTGTGGCTCTAGGTGTAGAATCTTCTGCTTTCGACTCTATGGTTATAGCTGGTATTCAACGGAATCCTATGTCTCCCGCAGTCCGTCTCTAACGTTTCAGTGAACTATTTGTATAATGTCAAAGTCATGTGACAGCTTAGCCTATTCAAGCCCTACATCCTTCTTAAACTTAAGCAGCCACTCCTCGACGTCGGCAGGCGTTTGGTTCCAGGGATCATCGCTGTGGTATCCTCGTCAGCGTATCGGCTACCAGGAAAGGTGAGCATATGCTAGGACTACTCACTCATCATACAGAACCCATCTCGCCTGGTGTCGGATCTCCTCATCGGTGGGAATATGGCTGTTGGGATTATTGGGCGACATCGTGCTGGCGACAAAGCGGGAAAGCTCTTTTGCAAGACGTCGATATCTGTTGTTATCATTCAGGAAGAACGGCATTCCACTGCCCCCGGGCCGTTCATTACCCTGCCATGACCCTTGAAGTAACTGCCCCGACCCTTTGAAGATTGTCTTAGCTGCGTGTAGTCTCATATAGAAGTCTTGTGTGGATTCCGCTGCGCTTTCTAGCCCCAACCCGACAGGATCTTGTAAGCCATCCATGCTAGCAGTTTGTGAAAGCCAGGAGGAATCGGCTGCAGGTGCCATCTTCCCAACTCCCTGATAGTGACTGAATTCTGGCAAGTTTCTTTGGGCTATGTCCAGAGCTGGCTCGTTCCAATCCCCGTGAAGTCCCGGAACGGGTTGTGTTGACAACCCGTCTTGGGAGTGCTGCTTCCCCCGTTGTCGCAAAGGGGCAATCCAGTCTTTAGATTCCCAAATGAGTCGCACTAAAAAGCCAGCAAACCTTCTCGAAGGGTTGGTTGACGATTCTTCAACGCGTGCCAGAATCGCGCAAGCCTCTCGTTGGATTTCGTGGTCTGAAAGAGCCAGACCCAGTGTAACGTGCATCCCAATGTAATGACGTAGCTCTGACTCAAGCTGGCATTCTTCAAAGATGTTCATTTTCCCATTGATGCGGAGCTGGCTCAGGCGTAACTTAGCCAGCTGTTGCATAGGGCGGAAACGAGCTTTTGTGGCTATCTCAGTCGAGCACATAAAGATATCTCTTAGCCACGAGGGCGGTGATGAGCCAAGAGCCGACGAAAAGAATTCCGCGCCAAAGATGATGCTACACCCCTCGTACTTGAGTTCATCGTCAGATGGCGAACTGTCCTTGCCCTCAAAGTAGTTTCGTATGTAGTACTCTATCTCTAGTTTGAGAAGTTCGTAGGCGCTTGGTGCAGTATCAGCTGGTCCCACACTTGCGGTGAATGGGAGTGCTGAGAAAGACTCGAATCGAATGAGATCTATGCATCATTAATCGTGAACCAAAGGCTTTCGAGATTGATTTCCAGCACTTACATGGCGGCATGGCATTGTCCAACATCTCCATCACAGCAGGCTCAAATCCCCAATCTCCCTGCCAGTCCGTCATGGTGCTTCCATTTTTGAAGTGGTCGGCAAGATGATCTCCTCTTTCTGCCCATGTCTCGAGCTTGGCACCGCAAAACCCACACGCTGAGCGAATATTATTCTTAACGACTTTCCACTTATCCATCAGTCGCGTCATCTGATTCGATCCGTGCACAAGCTTCAAGTGCTGCCGCAGATGGTCTTTACGGTAGAAGGTGCGATCTTCAACAGGCTTCTCTGAGCAAGCACTCTGATGGTGCTCATCAAGGTGAGATTTATTGGGGCTGGGCTCTTCGCAATAAGCGCAAACCTCTCCCTTTTCAGGATGGTTTTCCGTGGACCCGTGTGGTGAACACACCCATTCTTCCAGTGAAAGATGAAGGGACTTTTCATGTCTCTGCCAGTCGTATTTCGTCTTGAACGTTTCCGTACAAAAGGTACACTGGTACGTATTGCGAGCCTGCACCAACTTGATACGCTCTCCTTTTCGCATCTTGGTGAGGGCTCGACGCCTCCGCCTGCTTGAGAATTTGTTGGAATCCTGCGACCCAGCTGACCGTCTGGACCCATGGGAATAGGCAGAGGTGTTCGAACCTCTGCTAGACCGAGACGTCGCAGCACTGCTGAGGGACGATGCGTTTTCCGAAGACCTACCAGGCGATCGTGCGCGGCTCGGAAAACTCGATTGTCCGGTCGATGCCGCGACAGCCCGATTGATATCGGAAGCGAGCGCGGGCTCGTGCTCCGGTGGCGAGTGCTCCCATCTCTGCATCGGATTCATCATCTCGAACGGCATTGGCGTCGGCCGTCGGGTTGGAATCTCAATAGGGCCAGTGGTTGTCTCCGTCCATGATGGAACTTGCGCAGACGATGTACCTTGCGGCCGGAACTTCTTGCGACGGCGCGTGTTGGCAAACCAGTTGGTGATCTGCTGTCGCTGCAGGCCTGTTTGGTTTTGCAGCCTGTCGACATCTTTCGGTGTCGGGTAGGGATGTTTTTCGTGCCTTTCGAACCAAGTCCTCAGAACTTTGATGGCGCCAGATGTGAAGCGGCTACCAATCTTGGATGGCACAGTGGCTTCAGGCTCGCCGCCGGCCTCAGCTGAGCCCGGGGGAATGGCCGGATTGTCCTCGATTTCAGCGGACAGAGGCACGCCGCCCGAAATGCTTGACGATGGCGATGCCATGCCGCTGTCGATCTGTTGCTGGAAATCAACTGCCGAGTTGCTTTGACCGGATATGAGATCGGAAAACATGCCCAGTTGATCAAAGTCTAAACCGACCGCTTGGAATTGGTCTTGCGTGCTGGGCATCGCGCCGAGGTTTTCGTGTGGGCTATCCATAACTCGGACCGAGCACTTGGTTTCAGGACGTGAGAGTTGGGCGCAAACCAATGTGGGATGCCATTTTCCGCAGATTTCAGTAATTCTGGACAGGAAACGCGGAAAACACCATCAAATTCCTTCTCCTAAAGAATGATGATCAGATGAAAAGGATCGGTGGGCGATTGCGGATAGGCGGGGCAATAACAAGGTTTGTGGATACTAATGGAGCTTGTCAACAAAGGGCGGAACCGCTTATGCAATGTCATTCCGCCCTTCAGTGACACGCTAACAGCTCTGCTTCGTTAAAAGATGACAACCAACTTGAATGCTGCACTTTGCATATGTCTTCACAGCAACATTCTAAATGTCGCATATAGACTGACACTTTCTCTGTTAGCTCGTAGTGTACTGCCACAGGATAAAATAGTGATTACCTGTAAAGCTCCCTGAGTGGCGAGGTCACACCAACAGGCGTCGCAATCGATTGAGTTCAACTCTAGAGAAGATTGTGGCTCATGGCTATGGAATTTCAACCCTGTAATCGGCGAGCAGGAGCGTTCCTGATACTGACTATAATATTAAGCAACGCGATATAATCTATCCCCCTTGTCGTGTGCGCACCATCTTCCTCCGTCAATGTCCCCGAAACTGGGGCCGGGAGGGGCCGTTGTGGATCATTCTTGAGGTCGGGTTTTCCGGGTGAAGTTTTAAGCCAACTTCTTTAGCGAACCTGTGTGCTTCACTTCTTTATACTTTGAGGCTGTTCCGGGGAGTATCTCCTCTAGTCCGCGATAACGCCGATCAAAGTGCTGGCAGCTGCACAGCCAGGAGCCTGTCCCGGGATTGTTCATCTCCAGTAACGGCCCCTCATCGCCGAGAAAGCTTACCGGCAGATTGGCATAAAGCAAGTGTCACATAGTGTACTGTTCTTCATTTTCGGATTACGGTGCGCTCCGTTTAGCCCGCTCGGCGCTCCGCCGACCTGACATCAGACGACATGGCATAGAAATTACTATTTGTGATCCCCGAACCCCTCAATCATCCCAACGTCCGCCCATCTCAGGCACCTCGCAATACCAGATCCGAGAGGCTAAGACCGATACCGAACCCGTCTGTCCATGAAAGTCTCCGGGCACCTGGGTGCGATGAACGTCAGGCTGATCGGGCACAGACCCTCTTTTGGTAAGATGTAGAAGTTTAAGAGTTTATCGCGAGATCATCATCACAGCTATATTTGTCTCGGTTTCGGTAGCGGTGGTTATTCGATTCGGCGATTAGGCATGCTACGGCACTCAGATGAACTGCCGCAATCGATCATAGTACGGATAGAGCGTTGCTCACGTGCTGTTTACAATCAATGAGATCGTCTTGTCTTCATCGTAAGCTCTATCTATGTATGTTCGCCAGATGGCACAGCGTGCTGCTAATATTTAGAAAATTATGGCTTAGGCATCTACTTAAGCTGAGAAGCAGATTATTGCGCCAGTGGCTATGGCACCTGAGCTATGCGTCTTACTCAACATCTTGACAACCCCAAAGGTCCTCAGAAGGGGCAAGACACGCACGTCGTTTTTCGAAGGGCACGGAGAGCAAGAGAAAGCATGCTTTTCCCACTTCTCCATTTGGGAGACACCGTCACCTACAAAATGCTTGATTACAGATTTCATGTTGAAATCTGTGCTGTTAAATTGGGGGGCAAGGTGGTTCGATCACAATACGCTTCTATTGACACGGTTTCTCCGCTGCTCTAGACATACTCGAATTCCAATGCAATTTAAACACAACTCCAATCTTTAATGCACCATGCTCTAAGTTGAGTCATTAAACAGTAGACAATTCCGAAACTTTTGTAGCGTTGAGCCTTTCCATTCCCATGCTGTGCCTGCATGTGCTGTGATGATTGTTTATGACCGTTACATCGTCAAGTCATTAATGCGTTACGCATCTCTCGTGTACTCGGACTTCTGGCGCCAAACGTGGCCGTATCTCATCAGAGCGATGGGAATCGGAGCCAGAAAGATACTGCCGACGCCCAACACAGTGAAAGCCCACCCGTAGCCAAACGACTCGATCAAGGGGCCGGTGGTGAGCGGGAGGAAAGTGCCAGCCAGGCATCTGGTGACAATCAGTCCGGTCATGGCGGATGCGCTGTACAGGCCCGCCGCATCAACGACGTAGGCAGACAGGGGCAGCGAACACATCAGTAGGAAGAAGCCCAGCACCGCGACTGAGACGAGAAGCCAGATTACGGGAAGCTTGAACTGGGCGATCCATCCGTATGCGATGATGGTCAGGGGAAGGCCGAAAGCGCCGACAACGACCAGCGGGAGACGGTACTCGGGGCGTCCGGTTGGGTCGTTGCCACGGAGCTTGATGTAGATTCTATCCAGGCTAAAGTTACTGACAACGACGCTGATGAACGAGCCGATACCTGAATGCGATTAGATGATGCCTGGAAAACTTTATTTTCACACTGGAGAACTCACTGAATGCTATGAAAGAGAGGCCGGTCAACGTGGGCGAGAAACCGTATACCTCCTGCAGGATGTTGGGCAGAGTGATGGACATGATGTAGAAATATGCAAATGTGATGCAACCAAAGAATGACAGCGCAAGCAAGACGCTGGACTTGAATAAGACCGTACCAGGCCTCTTGATCGACTCCCACAACTTCAACATGCTCTTGTGGTCATCGACGCCGGCCGGGTGAAGCGGAGCTCCAGATTCATGCTGCACCTTGGCGGCGCGCCGTCTCAGGATGGTCATCTTGTACGTCTCCGTGAAGAAGAACAGGAACAGCACCTCGCACGTAGCCGCCAAGCCGGCGCTCATCCACAGAACACGTCTCCAGCCCAGAGTCTGGGCAATGGCGCCGCTGATCATGGGGCCGACGGCACCACCGATCAATGGTGCGAGTGAGACCATGCTCATGGCAGAGCCGCGCTGGTCAGCCTCGAACATGTCGCCGATGATGGCGGGGCTAAGGACATTGGTAGCAACAGCAAGGCCGGTGAGGGCGCGGGCACTGATGAGGAGCGGTGTGCTGGTACTCAACGCAGCGAGGATGGTGGCCGTCACGAAGAGGATGTTGGCGGCGTTCAAGACGGGCTGACGGCCGTAGATCTCGGAAAGGGGCGCGATGAGTAGGGGCCCGGCGGCCTCGCCCAATTCCCAGATGGTGACAAGCAGAGCGCTCGCTGGTGAGTTGGTGCCATCGTCATGGTCGAGGTCATCAATGATGTGCGCAGCGACAGGAACGACTGAGATGCAGGTAAAGGTTCTGCGAGCGAGTTAGCGGACGAAGCCAAGGAATAGGCTGCTGGTTGAAAGTTGAACCGCAGTGGGTGGTGTCTCATACACAGTGAACGCCATACACGCCAGCAGACCGACTATGGTCCACTTGAAAGCCAGCGGCCACTCCCTCGGGTTTTCAGAATCGCCATTGGGGTCGAAGTCAAGCAGGTGCTTTGAGAGGTCTTCCTCGCAGAGAGGATCCTCGAGAAGGGGCTGACTCTCGGCCATATTTGACGCGTTTTCGAGGTGGTGATGAGTACCTTGAAGTGAAGTCGGTGATCGCTCACTGGGCGGCTGGTGAGGAAACAGCGGCAGCGGAGGCAGATGCAGTGGGCAGCTGCTGCACCTTGAAAGGATTGCAGATCCGCTTCAACAGTCAACAGCGCCTTTGCGTGCTTGCCCCACGGTGCTTGGTCATTGCCAGACAAAAATTTGATGGCCGGGGTCGGGAAGGTGGGTGGCAATTGATTGCAATAGCGGGGCGCCGGCGCCGGCCGAGGGGCTGGGCCGTCAGTGCCACAGGGCACACGTGACATCGGCTTTGTGCCATTGTGTAAGGAAGCAGCAGGTTGGCGTGAGATGCTCGCTCTAATCTGGCGGTGGATCTCATGCGAGAATTGCTGGTTGCCTGGAGTTCGTTGTTCAAGAAGAAGACGCCTCTAAATAACCGAAGATCGCAAACCTTATCAGAGACCCTGGAATTCCAGTAAAAAACCGTTGATGGCTCTGGAATCTGTTTCGCCAATCTCGGCGATTGGTCGTACAATGTTTCCTTTTTCGGACAAGTGCGGGGTCCGTCTCCGATGTCGTCCCCACTAATTGGAGCTTCCCCGGCCGGCTGACGGCGGCTGAAAGATCCCCCGCGGGTCTCATTCCCGAATCTGACGCCGGCTCCCCCCTTCGACTGCGCCTTTTGAGCAGCATGACTCCACCAAAGGGCGCGATATATGAATCGGTTCTTTCCAGAGCTGCATCCGTGAGGAAAGTCTGGATTTGGGTCGAGGTCGAACTCTAAGCACCGGTACTCAACTTGATTGGCCAATTCGACATCCCAGCTATTACGCCATCTTCACGCCGAATTGTCTGAGCAACAATCCCGGACCTGCAGCCATGAGCATCCCTCAGCTTCGTGCGCCGTCGGTGGACGAACTTCGGAAGTTCTACGTCGGAAAGACGATCAACGACGTTCCAAAACCCGCCGTCGTTCTTGATGTTGCCAAGGCAAAGAGACACTGCCAGTCTATGCTTGATGCCGCCAAGGCTCTCGGGGTGGGCTTCCGAGCTCATGTAAAGACTCATAAGGTACTTTCAAGTCGAAGGCGTGCACATAAAGCTGTTATAAATTCTCTCGGTCTGTGGTTCTAACTGGGATCTTAGACTACTCAACTTGCAAGGCTTCAAGCAGGCGAAGACTCGCCGGAGGTGAAGCTCGTGGTCTCCACAATTCCCGAATTAGAACATCTACTTCCCCTTCTCAAGGAATTCAAGTACAACGGCCGGCAGGTCAACGTTCTTTATGGCATTCCTCTCCCGCCGTCACAAGCCACTAGAGCCGCGGAACTGGCGCGCGAGCTCGGTCCCGGTACCATCACCTTCATGATCGACCACCCGACCCAGCTCGATGCTGTTGTTCACTTCTCGCAAAAGGCCGGCTTTGCGGCTGGAATCTATCTCAAGGTTGACACTGGCTATCACCGCGCAGGTTTGCCGCCGTCAAGTCTCAACAAGAATGACTTGATCGCAAAGGTCATGCAGCTCGAAGCTGACGGCACGGCGACTTTGACTGGACTGTACTCTCATAGTAGTCTTAGCTACGCTGACACTGGCGCCAAGGAAGCTATGGACAACCTGGCGGGGGAGATCAATGGCTGCGTCGATGCGCTCAAGAGCAACGCCCAGCATTTCCACAAGAACAAGAAGCTGACGATCAGCGTCGGTGCTTCACCACAAGTGACCGCGATCCAGAACTTCGCTGGAGCCAATGCGACAAAGAATCCTGACAGCGAGTCCCTCCGTAGCACGATCCAGGAAGTCACCAAGGGCGAACTACTTGGTTTCAAGGTGGACCTCGAGCTTCATGCCGGTGTCTATACCACCCTTGACAACCAACAACTCTCGACACACGCCAGAACATTCCTCGGAGATGTCGAGGACGAAGTTGCCATCTTCGTTGCGGCCGAAGTCTGCAGCGTGTACAACGATGGGGAACGTCAGCAGCCGGAAGCCCTTGCTGCAGTCGGTGTGCTTGGACTTGGCCGAGAGCCGTGTCCTTCCTACAAGGGATGGGGCGTCGTCAGCCGCAAATCATATGCGAGGAACGTCGATACTCGTCATCGACTTGTTGTAGGAAGGGTTAGTCAAGAACACTCTATCCTGACTTGGGATATTGGATCAGAAGGCAGCGACGAGGAACACTTGCCGTCTGTACCACTTGAAATTGGACAGAGCGTTTGGATCTACCCTAACCATGCATGTGTAACGGGAGCTATGTATGGCTGGTACCTGGTGGTAGACTCCAGCAAAGGGGAAGAGTCTGAAATTGTAGATGTTTGGGTGCGCGCATGCGGATGGTAGATAGCTGACCAATTGGGCACAAAGTGCAAAAGCCATTTTTTTTCAAAGTAAACCTGTACGGAGGTGGCGTCTGGCAAGACACCTTAATCATCATCTCGACCTGTTGTGTTCCTTGTTGGCTTTTGTCGGGTAAGCCCCCCAATGATAGTAGCCATTATTTCCGTTCTTGTGGGAGGCTGCATATTTACTCCGTCCCTATGCGTGAAAGTCTCACCTCACTGCTGTCAACCACTCAATCCTTCTCCCCCCATTGGCCATTCGAACTTCACGCGTTTCATTTTTGCGCTGATGTGTTGTACTTGCATTTACCCCTCTTTTGACGTGCAGCCTCGTGACCTTCAATCATTCATTGTTTATTGACCCGTCCTTCTGCATATTTGCTGGTATAACTTGAACTAGAGCGCACCTGAGGCCGAACAACTCAACTGTTCGCAGTCAGAAAGAAGAATGGTCATAGAAGTCTTACTGTTTCCTGATAAGTTAAGTCATCTGCCATCGGGGGTTCTCAGACTCATTTTATTCAGAGAGAGCTTCAATTGAGCTGAATGGCATTATGTATCGCCTTTGTCATTCATGCCAGGGCATGTTTTGCTGGACAGACGGAGTGTCACGGGCTAGAGCCCGGATTGATATCTCCGGCTTCGCCGGAGCAGTTACCGAGATCCGGCTCCGTTGGACCCACTATTCTGCCGCAGTACGCCGCCTAACCCGGCCTGCTTCACCGCTGTTAGGTGCCTACCCTTG